TTACAGGGGTTAGGGACATCGTCTGGCTTCCAAAATGATTTTGAGACATGGGGTCTCTCAGTCTTGATGGAAACATCACTTAAGTTTAAGAGAATTGACATTGTACAGGGGTACACAAAGACCAAAGGAATCCGGACGTGAGTTTCTCCCTGTATAAGAAAAGGACCTCCCACATACAAATTATTAGTCATTTCCTAGAATAAATTCTCCTCTAGAACTGTGGGAGCTCATGGCTCTTTCCTCACACAGGGCTGAGGTTTCTGTGAAGGCAAGTTCGTTGTCTAGAAGATGAGACTCTTGTGTCTTCTCTCGTGCCTGGTGACAACTCCTCAGGTTGAGTGTCCTCAATGTCACATATGGGTCCATGGAAAACTTGTGACTGCAGGGGACTCGCAGGGATGATTCTCCTTGTCTCCTGGTGTCCTGTCTAGTTATAACTCAGGAATCAGGATCTGTTCTGGTAAGTCTTTTACAGACCCTGACCCTCAAATGTTCTTTCTCTGGAGTCTTGATCACATCCAGTGATCCCTAGTGGAATGGGATCTTCTAGAGAGTCTGGAAGAGTCTGGAGTGGATGGGACAGATTTATAATGGTAGCAAAATTCAATGGAAACCATCTCTGAAGAGTTGAATCACCATGACAATGAAAATAGCCAGTAACCACATTTCCCTGCAGCTGAGATTTGTGACAACAGATGACACAGCAGTGCATTAATGTGTATGAAAGAGACATGGTGAGAGGACCTCATTGTGAACCCAGATATAAACCTCCATGTGCTCCCTGGGCTGTTTAATCTCCTCCTGCACATGCACACTGCAGCCCTTGATGATCATGATTATCTCTTCTCTATTCATGACTGAGGATCATGGAGGGATAAGGAATCCAGTTGAGCTGAGAACAGAGATCTCAGATTATCCATAAATGGGGGTAGAAGGTAAGCCTACAGATGAAGACCTCTTCTATCCCTCCTATGTTGTGTGCAGGATGGAGCTCTGAAACGAGCCCTGGAGACTATTACTGAGACAGGTCCCTCAGTTTCCACATGGAGAATCCAAGTGTGCAATTAGAACAAGATGGATGGAACCCTGTCCTGCTCATTTTCACCTGTCCTAAATATCCAAAAGAACCAACCTACACCATCTCCCTTCTCTAAACAATTGAATTAAAAATAAATCCATACTTAGTCACAAAGTTCCATGCAAACAGAGATCTTCTCCCTTCCTTCCATTGTTCCCTAATCTCCAAGCAAAGAAGAAGGTTCCCTGAAAACTATGCCATCAAGGCACCAACTCTTTCATTATGTAAGACCCATGTCATGTGTCCTTTATCCCATGGACACTATCGGGATTTGCTCAAACCTTGCACAGGCCATGGTATTTGATTTCAGGACACACAGGCTCCATTTCAGGGCAGTCATGCCTCATGTTGGCTCGGACACTTGCTGACCACAGGGAACTGGACAAGTCACACACCTCAGTTCAGAGCATGTCCATATGGTTCATGCTACAGAGCATCCATGTGTCTAAAACTATAAGAGGGTGTTTGAAGACAGTGGTCATTAAATGGACTGGGTGGGTGGTCTATCCTTACTTCACCACTGTACCTGGAGTGAGGGCTCATGTGACAGACAAGCATCTTAAATATTACGTGATTTTTCATCCAATTTACTTTTCCAAGGTACACAGATCCCTGTTCACTAACCACCATCACACAGGTGTCCAGCTAGATATGAATAAATCGTATTAAATTTTTACACTGCTCCTGGGGTACTTTTTGATCAGTGGGATTTTACAACTGTACCCCTGGATTCAACCAATAGACCCATTTTCTCTATATTGGTGTCTCTCTTGATTTCACACATAATTAAGAAGAAAATCCTATGTAGTTTTGATCTTTGGAATTGTGTTGAGGTAGTTAATACCTGTGTATTCCTAGAGCAGGTAAGGAAGCCTGCTGTGGTACCGAGTGTTCGATGCTACAGATGAATTCATCTATAATTTGGTCCACACTGAATTTGAAGTTAGGACTTCCTGATTAGTAGTTTAATGTGGTGTTCTGCTTGAGCCATGCTTCAAGCCCTTATTTCAGAGATTAGCTCATGCTTTTTCTCCCATTCTGGCCTGGACTGGGATCCTGATTTTTGGAGTTGTAGTGGTGAAGCATTATTCTTCATTACTGCATTTCCACTGTGCTGTATCAGTCAATTGTGGTTGATATTGCAGGAAGATTTCCCCTCTCATCTGTGGTGCTGGTAACTGGGCTCAATGACTTGTGCATGGTGTGAAAATATGAACTATGTTCATGGTAATTGTGTGAAACATTGTGAAGTCCTATCAAAAATCTATGTGCATATCCCAAGGCAGAAATACTGGAATTATCAGAAAATAAGGCAGGAATCCTCAAAAGATCAACAATTGCACAAAAACAGACACTGATGAGAATAAGTAGATGAAATCCTTCACAAAGAATTATTAAAGAATAATCCAGGATTTAAAGAAGGCTTTAAAAAACATCCAAATAAATTAACAGAGACTAGATAAATAACTAGATTAAATTAGGAAGACATTGCAAGATGTGAAAGAGAATTGTATCAAGGGTATGATAACCACCTAAGGAATTATCTCAATGAAATCCAGTTGTACTACTAATGAACATAGTACTGAAAGGAAAAACTAGATAAACTAACCAAAATGCCAGATGCAACCCTTTCCATAAGACTGGCTCAATTAGGAAGCATACTACCAGGATTTGAAGATAACATAAATGATTATTCAATAATTAAATATCCAATAGTCAATCTATGAACATTTCATGTTTTCTGAATGGATTTTATAACAAAAAAGGAAACAGTCTCTTTTTATTCATAATTTGTAAACAATAAAATTTAATTAGCTGTTAATGGGAGGAAATCTTTTTAAAACTCTCACTGTAATTTATTCTTCTACAAAAAATCAATAGATGATGGTGGATTACTAATTTATTTCCCAAGAAAACTCAGTAAGGCATAGGAAGGAGACCTTTCTGAGAAGAGCTCCTCAGAATCCAGGCCCAGCCCACTCTAAATTTTCCTACATTCCAGGGCTTTGCTCCATTTCCCACAAGATGAATCCATTCTGTGACCCCTTCCACAGGACAGCCATAGAGGCTCTGACCTCCTGTATATGACCTATTCACCTCATGTTCTTTTCCGTTCCACTCATACAAATAAGCCACAGGTACAGGATATGTAGAGGAAATGTGTGAAGTGTCATGATGTGGACGGTGTCTTTTGAAGTCTGCAGACATCCATATGGCTTCTCCCTCTCTCCCTTTCTTCCTGGTGTCTCCACTCAGTGTGAGTGAGTCATGGATTTCAAAATGGGACAGTGCAAATGAGCAGATGTGTCTGAGTGACTGAAGATTGCTTCCTGTCTCCAGGTTTCCAGGCCAAGGATCCCAACATGCAATAGAGGAAGGGAGCCCTGGTCCCCTGTCAGAAGATCAGTTTCACCTGTAGAACCTACACAATCTCAGTCTCAGAACATTCTGTTTCATTAGTTTAGCTGTGACCAGGGAAAGGCCTTTAGTGAACTGATGTGATCTGCGGTAAAGGGAGAACTATCTGCAGCCTCAACTTGCAGTTCAGAGTCATCAATCCAGGGAAACAGACAAGAACCAAGCATTCTTACAGCTGAGCACTGTGACAACTAATGACAGTGGTGTGTCTTACTGTGCCAAGCACTGTGATCGGCATGCAGTGTGATTCCAGACACAATCCTCTCTGCAGAGGTACTCATAACCAACAAGGGTGTTCAGGTCTATCAGGCTTGTCCAGGATACACAGGAACACTTAGGAAGAGCATACTGTTCTCAGCACCACCAGGGGGAGCCCAGGACTAGTGAAATGAACTCAGGACCAGCAGGAGAGGATCCCCAGGGATCAGAAGGGGATCCTCAGGAATCACCACAGATTTTTCCTGGGAAGTCAGTTAAGGGGTGTCTTCCTGTCAATAAATTTTATAACTCCTTCTACAAAACTGCTTGATATTATTCAGAGTTACAAATATTTTATGTTGAAATTCAGAAATCACCACCATTTTGAGAATGAAATGTCTTGAAAATGATTCTTCACTTTCCAAGTCCCAGGCAATGGAATAAATACAAACTGGAGTATTATGGTGAGAACTCTTAGTTTAGAACCAAAGTGATCTTCATATCATAGAAGAATAAACTTACCATAAATAGAAGAATCATATCTGCCCAAGACATATTGAATTGAAGTTCACTGTTCAATTGTGTGAAAGTTGATGGAAACAAAATGGACACTTTTTCAATGCCCAACACAAAGTAAATTAAAAAACATGTAATTACTGAAAATAAATTAGGGAACAATTCCTGTGGTAATGAAACAAAGACCTCATGCATACATATCTGATAATAAGAACTTTCACCAATGTCTACACCAAATCCACATTCTTAGATGCAGGACACTGACACACGTGTCAAAGACTAATCTTCAGGACATTTCTCTGGAATTAGAGGAGCAGAGGCCTTCATCTAATATAAGATCAGGAATCTGACAACTTAACAGTTTCCCACAGCAACTGTGTATAATCCACAATAGAAGGAACATTGGGAAAAAGAGGAGCTCTGCTGTAATCGACTCAAAGGAAGAAAACTAAAACCTGAGTGGGGAGAGTACTAGGCTGGCCATGGAAAACAGTTCTGTCCAGCATGGGTGAGATCTTCCTTGATGAGCTTCCATCATCCTCTCAAATCAGCTATAACATACCATGAATGTAAACACCACTTGAGTTTTAAATCAGATATTACTCCCAGGGGACATCAGACCCAAGTAACCCTGGCTTCAATCTATCCCAATGTATAACTAGAGGACTTCCCACATGCAAATTGTTATTCAGACTCTAGGATAAGTTATACCCCAGGCCTGGAGGAGCTCACAGCTCTGTCCTCACACAGGACTGAAGTCTCTGGGGAAGGCAGGACAGTGGTCCAGAAGATGAGAGGGTTGGGTCTTCTCCTGTGCCTGGTGACAGCTCCCCAGTGTGAGTATCCTCAAGTTTGTGTGTAGGCCTATGGGAAGTTGATGATTACAGGTAACTGACTATAATGATTCTCCTTGTCTAAAGGTGTCCTATCCCAGGTGCAGCTACAGGAGTCAGGACTTGGCCTGGTGAAGCCTTCAGTGACCCTGTCCCTCACCTGCACTGTCTCTGGTTACTCCATAACCAGTGGTTATGACTGGAGCTGGATCTGCCAGCCCCCAGGGAAGAGCCTGGAGTGCATGGGGTACATAACTTATAGTAGAGGCACTTACTACAGCCCATCCCTCAAGAGCTGCATCTCCATATCCAGAGACACTTCCAAGAACCAGTTCTCCCTGCAGCTGAGTTCTGTGACCACAGAGAACACAGCTTTGTATTACTGTGCAAGAGGCACAGTGAGGGGATTTCAGTGTGACCCAGACACAAACCTCCCTGCAAGTGCACTCTGGGTCAGCAGGGGGCGCTCAGCTCACAGCCAGCTTAGTTTCAGTCCCAATGTTAGGGGCAGACTCACATGAACTTTTCTTCCTGAAGCCCTGGTTCCTACTAAGCCAGTTCCTATCATTCACCGTCAGTGATTCTGAGTCAGTGAGGTCTCTTCAGATCAGTAGATGTAATTCTTTTCTATTTTTTTCTGTTTGGTGGTACTGTTGTATGAACTCAGAGTCATGTGCATCCTAGGCAATTTCTCTACTACTGCAGTCACAACACCAGATTATTTTTATTTTAGATAATTATTTCACATAGTCTCATATGATTGCTAGTGGTGGGCCTTGCCTGGTTATCGTCCTACCTTCACCTTCAATGGAGCTGAGACCACTGGCACACACCCTGATTCCCAGGTTGCTTGTTGAGAAGGAATCTCACTAGTAATAAGTCATTATCATAGCAACCAGTGGTGTCAACCTTCCTGTACTTTTATTTTCACTTTGTCCTCCTACTATATACAAATCGAATGTTGTTCAATTCTTGCATATGACCAGCTTCAAATATCCCCATTAAAATTATAGATTCTTCAGTGAATTATTATTAGTTAACAGTGATTATACAGTTGAAACATGAGGACTTTCATATAATACTATTTCTGTTTCTTTGCCAAGTTGAAAATCTTTTTCTAATTTATGCTGGCTCACATGTTAATATCATTCCTGGTAAATGAAAGATGTCTCCAATCATTTCCCAATAAATTTGACATTCTTTATTTACAGAAACTTTTATTTTCTAAGTTAAGGATGTTTTATGAACATAATAGATTGCACAATCTTATGTGAATTAGACTTTTAACATTTGAATTCTGAATATATTTTACATTACCTGGACAAATTGTACTGATGTGTATTAGGTTATATTTTACAAATGATTGGATTTAGATTGCCAACATTGTTTACAATGTGGACTCAATCTGTTACAGAGACACAAGTTTGAAATTTAATTAAGTTAGTTGGATAATTTATTTTAGTTTTAAATATTTCTACAGTACTGTGGTTTGAACACAAGTCCTTACAACCACTATGGAAGCTCGATGCCACAGTGCTATTGATTTACAAAATCATTGATCTATTTCTTTAATTTTTGCATTGAAGTTTGAACCCAGGTTCTCATGCATGCCAGTCATGTGCTTTGCTTCTGAGATATTCCTACAGTCTCATTATGTAGCTTTAAAACTGAAACATAATATTTAACAGATATTGTAACATTTGATACATGCACAGCATGTGTAGCGAAAAAATTAGAAAAACATATTCATATCTTCTAGCACTTATCATTTATGTTCGTTGGAAACGTGACTACACTCCTTGTCCTGTTACTTCAAACTATATAAAACATTGTTGTAAAGTTTAGTTACTGCACTGTGCTGTAGAACACTAGAATTATTTATTCCTAATTGTATTTGGAAGACATCCCCATCCACTCCATCTCCTTCTCCGTCTTTCCCAGTCTCTGTTCCTCTCTCTCCTTTAATAGGATCCATTTTTATCTTCTGCTCATGATGGCGATTATGTGTTATATTCTTTTTTTTCAGTATTGCTTACTTTATTCTCTTTATTCTCATGTAACATACTCATTGCCAAAATGACAAGCATTCATTCTTTCTAGATAAATGATATTTCATTTTCTACATATTACACATTTTCTTCCTCCACACCCTCACTGATGGACACCTGGAGGTTGTGAAAACTGCTTCAATAAGCAATTGATTCTAGGTATTGCTACCATACTCACATTACAATTCTTTCATGCATACCTAGGATTGTTAGATCAAATGGTAGATCTGTTCTTATTTTCTTAATAAATTACAATACAGGTTATGAAAACAGCTGAAGTAGACACAAGAAAGACAGCAGATTTGAACCTTTCTGTATTTGACTCTGAATGAGAAGAATCAGGACAACAAAGGAGAGACTGTATCCTGTAAAGAGAAACAGAGGATGAACTTCAAGAACATCCAGACAGGGACAGGACACCTGGAAATTGGGAAAACAGAATATCATAAAATAAAATAAGAAATGGGCTGCAGGTCCAGCCCAGCTCCATGCCAAGGTGGAGGGATCCAACAACTCAGCCACAGTGTAAGCGAAGTGACTTTGGTGAGAGTGTGGCTGACCTTGAGAGGAGCCCTCACTTCCCCCAATCCTTAAACCCATTCATGAAATTTGACATGCCAGTGACTTCTCCTAGATGACAAGATAGCATCACAAATTATTTTGTGTCCATATCATGAAAATATATAGCAAGGCACCATGTTGTGAGGCAACCTACCCTTTGAGACTGAACTGAAATGGTGACTGAAATACTAAGAATGAATCTGGTCAGTGCATCTTGGGGCACCTTGCTTCAGGGTCTGAGAGGGAGACAGCCATGAGAAGGGCTAATGGAGAGTAAGAGTTTCTGACACTGGCCACTAAAATGTTTAAATAGTAAAGAGCTCCCGCAGTGAAGGGCTTCATAGTTGGTGTCCACACCTCTCGTGTATGGTAGCAAGTACCCTCACTTGACAATCATTGTGGAACAGAGCACCGGGTCTGAGGGTGATAGAAGCTTTTCCTCCAGGATCTGTGTGACAACTGTAGGTGTTTGCTGTCAAGTGTATTGAGAGTTCAGGGCACAGGTCCTGAGAACTACAAGAGTTCCCCTGTCCTTTTCCTCAGGAGGATTTGGGAACCATTGGCAAGAGTCCAAGACTGGGCTCCCAGAGCTGCCTACATCCTTGGGTATTTTCAGCCAGGCTGTGCATAGAACTCCAATCCTATGTCCTGTGAACAATGCAATATCCATGCCGTCCCCCACTCAAATGTGAAGGAATGTCTGGAATTCATATGAAACAACTTATAGCAGCAGGCTGAGCACTAAGTCCCTCAGTTCTCTACCACCTGTGCAGAATTCAGGGTTTCTTTGTAGGACCAATATCTAACCCTTGGCTTGTTTGCTTCAAGGCCCATGGATCAGTGAGAACCTCCACCCACACAGGTTGCAAAGCTTCTTAAAGCTAGCAGTGCATCCAGTTATAAAGAAGAGGATCTTCTAGTGTGTCAACAGCACAGAAGTGGACAACTGACCTTGACCACTGGACTGCAAATGGAATTCAAACCCAATATATGCACTACAAGCTACAGGATGCCAAGAAAATATTCCTGTATCTCAGTTTGGCTGGGGATACAGTCCAGTACCCTGAGAAAATGAGTCACTGTTTCTGCTGAGCTTCAGCTCTAGGTCAGTGGTAAAGAACTTCACATCAACCATGACACTAGAAACTCCTGCCAGATCATTTTCAGTAACTGATTTTAATGACCACAGGAGATAAAAACTCCTAGCCACTCACTGTGCAAATCCTAGTAAATCCTGATAAAGAAACAAAAAATTATGAAACAAACAGGCACCAAGACCCTTCCAAAGATAGGAATTCCTAAGAACAGACACAAGTGAAGGTGAAGAATAAGAATGACCAGAAAAATTAAAGATGGCAAGTATGAACACCTGAATGACTTCAATGAAAAAACAAACAGCTGAATGAAGTAAGGTATGACAATGCAATATATTCAAGAACAATTCCATGAAGCCATAGAAATAGTAAAGAAAATCAAATTGAAATTCTGGAAAGGAATAGATCATTGAGAGAAATAAATACTGCTATTTAAGGAGTGTAACTTGGTTAATGTGTATTTTTCCATGTGTGAGGTGGAAGAAAGTTCATTGGAGGCTTTCAATCTAATTTTTCATGGTTATTTGCAGACAATCTCACTGATATTTTTAGTAGTGCTAATAGGTAATGAACACCATAGGTAAATTTCTTGATTGCTTTACATTTTCATTAAGAAGTTGGATCTAATTTTGCTATTTTTAGTTGGAAAAGAAAAAAATTATTTTCCACATTTGAACTGTTTCATAGTGAAACTAGAGAAGATTATAAAGTTATGAAAGATTAATTGATAAAATCAACTGTGTTCAATTTCTTCATGGTCACCTTTGAACTTCACTTCCCTGAAAAGCTGAATATATGGTTTTATTTATAAATAAATGGAAATTAAATTCTTGTAATTTACTGTAGGGAAAAAAAGCCCCATGTCTTTACGTAAAATGCTAAAGAAAATAACTCAGGTTAGTGAAAATGAAGTCATTTCAAATTTGTCTTGCTTAGAATCTGAGTAAACAAAATGTTACACATGTGCAGACTTTTTAGAATAGACAACACAAAAGTAAATTATTGGAGCAGTGAAAGACATAGGGCCTGTCTTGCTGAGATCCTTTCTCTTCCACCAGACAGTGTAATTTCCACACATAGCACAGAATGTATTTGCCAATTATTACTTACACTCACACAGCATGAAGCTACATCCCTGCATAAATATACTTATACACACTTTATTACACTTATACACACTGCTGGTCTGTAAGTACCACAGAGAGAACCAATAGCAGAGACAGAGTGCTATTGAAAGTGGTTTGCTCCATGTTGGTAGGAATGCTCAGAACTTCTGTATATGCTACAGAAATAATCAAGAGAAAAAAGAAATGGTGACATAGGTGGCTGCAATTTAAACCGCTACAGTCAATTAAAACCTCCTCAGAAAACGGGTAATGGCAAACACAGACATAAATGGGACACAGTACTAGAACATCACTGTGGGCTTCAGGAACAGATTCTGAGGAAACTGAAGGGAACTTGGTGACTTTACACTTGAGATTCTGGGTAGACACAGTGGGATTCTGATTAGGACAGAGTTTAGGACTCATGTTGTGAATAAGAGTGAGGAGAAGAGAAACACTAACTCTTAAACTCTAACAGTCTGAAATCTTCCCCACCTCCTTCTGTAGAACTGTGCACATCAGGCTCAGGAGGAATTCAATTACACTGTTTTTCTTACACAAGGATGCCTTCTCTACCACCCATTTCCCTTGTTCATTCAGAAAATGCTGCTTTTGACCCCTGTAATGTAAATCCTAAGGCTCAGCCATGTACCTGGAACAGAAGTGTTAATTCATTTTGTGGCTCCTGCAGGCCCCTGTGAAAGGCTGGTGG